GGAATTGGTTCAGTTTGGGAAACTCAGCCGTGAAATTCAGAATGACAAAATGCGGTGGGTCCAGGCTCGCATCATTGCCTGAATAAAGTCATTGTGGATACTGAACTGTTGACCTCAGCTGTAAGAGATATTGTATTGCACAGAATGTAATCCACTCACAGCGTGGGGCCTCCACATGTTTGTCATTTGGAGTGGGGAAAACAAAGTGAACAAACCACTGTTTTTAGAAAGCTTTTCTCTAAATGGCATGATTGCTAAAGCTTGTTCTTGTTATTTCATAAAACATGCTTCAGTCCACTCATTCTCTCTTTTTCTTTCTCTCATTCTCTAAAAAAATTATACTCAGAAAGCACAGAGCTTTAGAAAGTATTAGAGCTTTTTTCTGTGTGTGTGAACACTAGAGAAAATGCTCATATTTTGCTCTTTTATTATTATTTATTTAATACAACTGCATTTTATTTAATATGTCATTACAACTTTTATTGTTAGCTTGTATAAAAAGATTAACTCACAATTTTCTGACCATATTGGTATGTTTCCCTTTTGCTTTTAAAGCATTTTTTTGTTGTAAAGTGCAAATAAATAAGCTTGTGTAAAATCTAATGATCATGTCTATCAGTATGTTTTCAGAATGAACCGAGGAGCTTCTTATGTTTCAGTGAAAGCAAGAACATCTGACAAGGTGTCACATTGTACAGTCACAAATGTGCTTATTTTATTAGTAACCTAGGTAGTTCAGAAACTAAAAAAATCTCTCATTTTTATGTTGTTTCTTTGTTTTTAAAAATCCTAAAACTTGATTTATTTATAGGTTTAAAACATTTGTATTGTTATTTTTAGTGTGAATTCAGACTTTTGCACCCCACTCTATGTTTATGATAAAGAGTAGTGTGATTTATATGAATATACTGTATAGCATGCAGTAATGTATTATGTGTATATGAATCAATTTACAGTGCATGTCTCATGTTTATATACAGTACCAGTATGGACATGCTAATTATTTATTGCTACTATTTTCTGCATTTAGAGTCAGCAAACCATGTTCAGATCAGATGTAATTTTCTCTAATTATCAAATTCATGGTAATAATCTGGAATACCTTTCCAACAGCTTTGCCCATACCCGTATGGTGAACAAGTACGTTTTTCCTTCACTCTCTGATTGACTGTCCTCATCAAAAAATAAAAAAAGCAATTAAAAAAATAAATGAAGTGCACTAGAAAACTTTGTCTATTAATTAGAATTAATTTCAGTCTTTTAAGTTTGCTTTTAGATCTTTAGATCTATGAGAAGAATAGATTCAACCTGTGACTGGTATAGGAATTTTACTTTCCTTTTTGATTTCCAGCACTTTTAGACAGTGAAAATATGTACTGTTCTATGTGAGTATGGGAAATTGGACTGAGATGAGTGTGCTGCAAATGATTGCCACTGAGGGTTTGAGATGGAGGGATAGTTTGTGTAGCACACAGTGAAGTGTGAATAGTCTGAATCAGGGGCGTAGGCAGCGGACGGGCCTGTCCATTCTCATGAAAGGCCACCCCAGTTTATTATACAAATATATTATTTGTTAAATAATTATTGTTTAATATATTTTAACACAATTAGAGAACTATTATAACATCTCAAATAAATAAAATGTGTTTTTGCATAATTCTTGATGAGTTTGATTGACAGCAGTGTTAGCCAAGTGTTATCCAGGGTGTTTAGGGCATGTCGCGCACGTAAATTCGTGCGTGTTCACCCATTCAGTTGGACTGTAATTTGCAGCTGTGTTAGAAAATGTTAGAAAAACAGCAGCAATGCATAATCTGTAAAAAAAGACTTTTAAAAACTTGCACTAACGAGGGAGAGAGCCCGTCCATCAGTCCACAAGTAACGGTAAGACTTTCAGTTCCACGCGCAAACCGGTTAATTCTGTGAAGCTGGGAACACACTACTGTCAGGCCGATTATGAAATGTCATTTGAGCTCAGTCAGTGTTTTCAGTCGGTGTTCAAGGTCGTTTGGTATGCGGTGTCTAAAGAATTTAAGACCAGCTGTTGCCAGTCGTCCTCACAAAGATTAGCCTATTTTTTTATTTTATTTATTTATTCATTTTTTTTTTTAAATAAATGTTGTGACTGACGCAGGCGATTAATTGCAGCTGTTTCCTAATGTGTAGGCCTATTAATGAAAATAACAAATTAACAAATAAAAAAAAAATGAAATTTCTGAATAAAATCATTTTATAGCCTACACTTTAGTTATATCTAATTTAGCATTTTCAATTAACATAGGCCTTTTACATTCTTCTTATTAGCCTATTAGGCCTATTATTATTAAGTTACTTTTATTATTAAATTAATATAATAATTAATTTGCCCCGCAATAATTTCATAGCGCATCACCGCATAACTGACGCGCTGCGAGGATAATAAAGATTAGGCTAGCTTATTCGTCATTGAAAATGTTTTTAAAAAGGTCTTTCAAAACAGGTTTAATATACAATGAATTATAGGCTTTGTCACGCCATGGAATTTTCTGAGTGTTTTGTTTCCTACATGTCCCATGTGCCTTTAGATCTAGTTTTCCCATATTTGGTCTTCCTGTTCCTGCTCCCTGATTGTTTCCAATTTGATTCCAGGTGTGTCTCGTCTTCCACTGATTAAGTTGTGTACTTAATGAGTGTTTTGTTCAGAGTTCTTTGTCCGGTATTGATCGTCAATCCCCGTGTCCTATGTGTGGTTTCTTTGTGTAAATAAAATCTGTTATTATTCTGGATTCTCCTTCGTCTCCTTGCTCCGACGCAGTAGGCACAGCGTGACAGAATACCGGACCAAAAAGCAAAGATGACTGAGGCTGAGGACAGGCTGTGTGGGCTGCGGCAGAGTGATAGGACATTGGAGGGATATGTGGAAGAATTCCTCGAGCTTTCCAACAGGGTGAGCTGGCACGACTCTGCATTTGGTGCCTGCTTTCTGTTGGGGCTGGATGATGAGACTATCCGCTGTGATCTCCCCGCGTGTTATTTCCCCCTGATAGAGCAGATTGATCTCGTTCTTTATTTAAATGGTTCCGAACTCGAAGTGGAAGAAGTAAAGGCGAATCTCAAGTCTCCTCATCCAGCCCCCTCAGGAGCACGCCTGGAACCCCCACATACCTCACCAATGGGTGTCCCCGAACTCTCCAAATCTCCACCATAGTCCTCAGCCCAGGAGAGCCGGTCGTTCCTCAGTCAAGCCCGCCGGCAGCTACATGTTCACGTCCACCGGCCACTCCATTGTCAAGCCCGCCAGCCGCAGCACTCTCAAGCCCACTGGTCATTCCGAAGTCAGGCCTTATTTAGCTATATACCATTATCAGCATATGAAGTAGATTAATCTCTCGTCGTCTCTGAGAGAATATGTGCCGTTAATGCAGCGTCAGATGCCGAAAGGGCCGTTATTTTTTACTTTCACTTTCTATCACTTTCGCTTTCTGAATCGACTGAGATTAAGAGGTTCACCGCATAACTCTTGCGCAAAGTTTGCACGTTGCTTGTGTGATATCCATTGGCTCGCCTTCCTGGTTTAAAACAAATATTTACAATATTGCGACGTATCCAGCCCCCCAACCCACCAACCCTTGAGTTCGCTGTTGGGGGCCGCGGATTTGCGCTACGCCACTGGACTCCGTCCGTTAGTTAGCCTAGTGCCTGCTCACTTTTGCCCAGACCCGCCCAAAAATAAAATTCTGGCTACGTCACTGGTCTGAATTACTGGACCGCATCTCTGTATTGCCTGTACTGTTCCATTCATCTACTGAAGACATCCTAGATAACCATGCAGATAATACAATTTCAAGAAAAATGGTGAAATTCAGTCTTTTGGGAAGATGTTATTGCATGGCCATAGCAACCATTATGAATGACATTTTCACTCATCCACAACTTTTTGTGGAGATAATCAATTTCCAAACTTCAGTGTATCAATATGTCAAATCATATATTTTTATTATAATATATTTTATTTTATGTTATTTTATTTTATATATTTATTTTCTTGACCAGTTGGTTAAAAGGCATTTTGAAAATGGCTCTGAAAAATTGACAAAATGTGGAAAAAAAGGCTCTGAAAAAATGTGCTTGAAATTTTATCATCTAGGGCATTGAAATTCATGCTTTTTTAAAGTGTCCTAATACATTTTGGGGCCACTGAAAATGTCCAAATGATAAATATTCTAGTTTACACAGATGGTGTAGTATATACAGTATGTGATGGAAAATGTGTAAATTCCGGAATGTGGTGTGTGAATTCTGTGCATCAGGCTCTTTCTGTAAGAGCGCATGACTCTCAGCGGACATTAATAGAAGTGCTGTGCACTATAGTAACGGGAAGATTCTCCAAATCAGACAGAAAAAGTGCAAACGCTGTACAGATGCAGCGCCCTTCTAAGGACATCATGTTATGTTTGATGATGCTCTCCTGAGGCTGTGCTCTCTGATGGTGTGCATCATGGTGTATGTGCGCACGTTGGCTCGCAACACGATGAATCACTGATTCATGACAGGTCACCCTCTTATGAGCAGATGAGTCAGCATTTTTTCCCTTTTTTGCTGCTGTTTTGCTGCTTCACAGTGAGTATAAAACTTTCAAATCCATCTGTGATGTCTGTACAGCAGTAGCACAAAAACGCAACCAAAATGACTGCTTTTGCAGGTTTTGAGAAGACTTTGAGAAGCAACTTTGGTGGTTCCTGTCACTCACAGGCCACTATACCATAAAAAGTGTTGATTTTGTGAATTAATCTTTATTTTAATGCCGCTTTATCTCTTATTTATTCAGTTCATACCTCTCCAAATTAACAGGTTTCTCAATTGTATTGGTTTTATTGACACAAGTAGACACCTGTGTAAATACGTGCTTTGTGCCTAATAAGAATGTCTGTCCTTTTTCAGATCCTCCCGCGGTGGAGCCGGTGTATACAGAGATCAGGCAGGGTCTAGGACGGCCGTTCTCACTGAGCTGCAGGGTGTTACGTGCACACCCCTCAAAAGTACTGGATTATGAATGGAAGCTGGGCACCAGACTGCTCACAGTGGGCCAGCTGCATACTCGGGATGAGACAGAATACCACGTAAGGGCCCTCAACCGTGAGGGCTACGGCGCGTACACTTGTGACATCAAAAACGAAGCAGGAGCTGGCCGATGTACTTTCCTTGTCACAGGTAAGACAGTTAAAATACATGTGCAATTTAAATGAATGCATTTGCAGTATAATTGTGTGTAGTTAGGAAGCGGCAGGTTACATTGTTATGTCTTTATGAGTGAGTCACTAAATGACCCAACCACTGTGATCCCATCCAGGAATGTAAAAATGTGACTCTTTAAGATTTACTCACTCAATCAATTTGTTCAAAAATTCTAAATCATTCAGGAATGAAACAAGTTAACTGTCTTCATGAGTGAGTCACTGAATCATGCAGAGCAAGTACCGAGACTTGCTACTGCCAATACATCCACAACATGCTGCTGTGAGCATGTAAGAAATACTGCTGCTGCACATATAACATACAGTATATATGAAATAACCCCATATATAGCATACATGAATAACCCCGTAGCAGATCTATACAGGTGGAACTGGGGAAGGTGGAGGGTTTCTGAATCACGTGTTGCAACTGCTACAGCTAGCACTAGCCAAGCATTTTAATGTTGAGAAGCAAGCTCATTGGCTGCTGACACAAAAGGAACCAATCATCGGCACCATGTGATAATGATGTCATTATGTCAGATTGAGTTAGACCTATCAGACTGCGCCATCTAGAGTTTTATGACAGAACTTTGGATTTAGTATATCATCTGGGTTTTTGAAGTTCAATTCTTCTTGGAAATTTTAGTTTTAACAAACTACTCACAGTATTTATGCTACAAAATGGCACAGAATACTTTAGTACATAAGTATATGAATTGGGACACATCTCTTTATTGAAATGTAGTCTAAATGGAATGTCACATTGAATAATGGGCTGAATATTATCATTGCTGTGATATTCAGAGCAAGACAGAGCAAAACAGAACTTTTTTCCTTCATGTGCTTGTTGCTTAATTATACATTAAAACATTTTGGTTCGGTGTTGCAATGTCAAATTTAAGTCTTGAATTAAAACCAGTTGAGAACCATTAGTTTATGGTACGTTTGTGATTCAAAACTGTCCCTGTTAGGCAAGTGTAATTCGTGGCAGATTTTGTGCTACAATCACATTTAATGATGTAGAAACATTTCTAAAGCACCCTGTTTTTTTAAACTGGCCATTAAGCAGATGTTGATTTTGTCCTGGAAATATTTTCTTTTATGCATTCTATTCTTATATATATTTCACATTATATATGCAGTCGTTAAAAACATGTAATGCTAATTTCAACTACAAGCGCTTAACAACAGAATAAATTAAACTGTGTGGATACATTACTAACATTAGACACTTCACTAGTGATTTAAAAGCCACACTTGCTTTTCATTCAAGTTTTGGTCCAGATAAATCCAGTCTAGCATGTCACCTGGAACATTTGGTTCAAACGGTGGAGCAGTTTCTCTTTGATTTCGTGCCACCACATAAGTAGCCCGATCTCATGCCTGCTACTGCACCAGACACTCGTGTTTAGAAATGGGAACTGCTAGCTGGTGTTTTTGCCCTCCCTGCTGTTGAATATTCATGGCTGAAATCCCAGCTGGTTGATGAGGCATCCTGGACCAGAGGAGGATGTGGGAGAGAGAGAGAGCTACCTGCTTTCTGATGCATAGGTTATTCTTGGAGATGTTCACCCCTAATCATTTAATTTGCATTGACAATCTCCTGCTCTGTTCAGCAGGCATAAAAGAGGATTATATCACTCATATCCACTCTCCTTGTATCCGGATCTCTCTCTCTCTCCTTCTCTTTCTCCTCCGTGCTCTTCTGTAGGACATGCTGAAGGCCATTATTTTGCACAAACCATGCATCTATGATGAGCCTCTGCTCGCTGTAATGCAGGAACATGCTGCAAGAGCTTGAAGCTCTCATTTATCGTTGTCATCATATGGGTTTTTATATGTCTGGGCGTTAAAAGAGCAAAAGCCAGAAAATCCCACGTTCAGTCTGTTTTATTGGAGGTTAAGCTTCCGTAATGTTGTATCATGAAGAAAACCTGATGGATTCGAACAAACGAAGGCGAAGGCACCAAATGTCACATGGCCACAGGGTTTTGTGTGACGATTGAACAAATGGCCAATGCATCAAGTTGACATTTCACTTTGTCAGAGCAATGTGCACAACTGTTTGAAGATAAAAAGCTTGAGTATTCAATGTACGTATGAAGTGTGATACTGTAGTGGTGCAGTTTTTGTTTTGCACATAAGCTGACCTGGGTTCAGATCCTAACCTAAATGTAAATTATTTGAGTTCATGAACCCTTTGAACCAGGCAGAAATGCAGTGTATTGCTGTGGGTATTCTTTTGTCTCTATTCTGTGCATTTTATTTGCTCCATCAACATTTGTTCACAATCACATCTGTACATCATTGGATCACATACACTGCCGTTCAAAGAATTGGGTTCAGTAAGATTTTTAATGTTTTCTAAAAAAAAAAAAGTCTGTGATGCTCACCAAGGCTGTATTTATTTGATCAAAAATTGTTATTTATTCCTATGATGACAAAGCTGTGTTTTCAGCAGCCGTTACTCCAGTCTTCAGTGTCACATGAGCTTTCAGAAATCATTCTGATATGCTGATTTGGTGCTCATGAAACATTTCTTATTTTTTATCAATATAAAAAATATTTGTTCTGCTCAGTATTTTTGTGGAAATAGTGATCCTGTTTTTCAAGACTCTGATAAATAGAAAGATCAAAAAAAGCTTTTGAATAGTAATGTAACTTTTTATTCAGTAAAAACAAGGGCTGTCAAGAGATTTACATAACCTTAATAATCGTTGATTATTTTAACATTCAGATAAGAAAAAAAAAATGTTCAAGACAAGGTTCAACAAATAGCAAAATGAGTACACACAGTATTACTATAATAGTAGTATCTATTCTTTTTGGAAGATGCATTCTAGGTTACTTGGTTAAAAAATCTGACTTGGTTTTCTTCAGAGTGCCTGAGATGTAGGGATGGTGGTCCAGTTGTTGATGGGTTAGGAACTCCCCACTGGCTGATGGCTGCACATTGCTAGGGAGGCAAATATATAGTATTCATGTGCTGAGATTTAGTATGAGCACAGGTTCTTTGTCATGACAGTGCTGTTATGTGTTTGACAAACACCAGGAACCAGCTTCAATTTCACAAGTATTCAAGTCCCAGAGGTCTCCTGCATGTTCTTTGAAGCTAAAACCTACACAATAGTGTCTACATGCACAGACAAACACACATATATTAAGGATTAGTGGATGTTAGTGTTAGTTTTAAGGAGCATTGAGGGTGTACATGGTATACCGGTGCCAAAAATGTGTGTATAAGGTATCGGTTTCGTATCTGTTTAGATACTGAAGCACCCTGAGATTAATTTAATGCAGAATTTTTTTACATTTCTTAATCTGATGGATCAAAGATTTGCACTTTAAAGCATGTGTACATTTCCATTATAGAGCATAGTGGACTTACTCTTAGAAATCTTGGCTGCAGGAGCCTCTGGGTTTCTTTTGCCTTTCTGATAAGTGACAGCTGATCCATGTACTGTCTTTCTCCATCTTAGGCTGATTTAAGAGCTCTGTGTTTATGATGCTCCTGCTTTTTCTCTCCACCTTCACTCAAGCATTGATTCCCAGAGGAGTCAAATTTATCCCTAAGCCTTAAGCAGAGTAAACTCGATGGACTCATTAACATTGGCTCCATTTTTTTCTCTCTCTTAATAAGCCAGGGATAAAATAAGTGCTGGTGACAGCCCTTATCCCTGACCTGCAGACATCAGCAAATTTTCCCTACCACCACCTTTCCTCACTCTTCTCAGTATAACCCTCGAAGGCATTTCTACAGACTTGGACGTTCAGAATTTCAGGTTTATTCTGCTGGCCATAAATCAAGCTATTCTATGCTATATTTCAGATTTTATTTTATGAATTTAAATATTTTTTTTTTTTAGTGAAGTGACAATGTAGCCAATTATTTAAAAAGCCAATTATTTAATTTTAGAAACAAGAAAAGTATCTTTAGAAGAGAATGCTCCAGGATTCAGACAACCTTCCAACCACTCAACTGCATTGTTGTTATTATTATTATTATTATGCTTTTTGTTTATATTTACTGTGCTGCCTTTGTACTGTAACAACAGCTATTTTACACATAAAATAGAGTTTATTTTCATTTAATGAGCTTATATTGAAAGCATGTGTTCTCTGCAAATAATGTATTTGTTCTTTTTTGCTTTGATTCTGCAAATGTTTTTTTAGCTTGGTGAGAAACAGACAGGCCTTGATGCAAAACTGTTTTTTCTTTCTCGTTTTCATATATTCTTTCATGGGCTTGTCAGCTTTCAGCAGATAGAGAGATGAGCTCTCCTAATGGTTTTGCTTTGTGTCTGTCTCCTTTGAACCTCTGATGGAGAACGTTCATCCTTTTTTACCACCAGCAATGGTTTGTAAATGCATCTACAGTATCCTCTAGCATCACTTCAGTGTACCAGACGTTTGACCTGCCGGTCTAAAAAGCAGTCTGTTTTTAATGATCTCTAAATATATACAGCATAATAGCAGAGAGGCACTTTTCCATAATTTTGAAGGAGTTGTTAAGTTTGTTATTTAGCTTCGTTTAGACATGATTACCTTATAAATCAAAACCCTGTAGTTTACTTTTTGTCCAAATGATTTATGAATTTATTTTTGATTAAGTATCAGGCTCCAAGCCAGAGGGAATGAGAAATTTATCATTTTACATCTGCAGCTTATAGCCAACACAAGCTACAGAAATCACATCTGTGCATCTGTCTGAAGTGTTTGTTTAATATTATACAATTTAAATGTGACTGTGACTGAAATGAAATAGTAAATAGTAATAAGCCATTATGTATTTGTTTTGTTTCAGGTAAGGCCTATGCACCTGAGTTCTACTATGACACCTACAGCGCTCTGTGGCAGAACAAACCTCGTGTCTACGGCTTCAAACTCCAGTGGACTCAAATGAATCCCAATGCGGTCGACCGTATCATGGCTTATCGACTTGGTATCAAGCAGGTGAGTGAGTCCATACGTTTACTTAAAGATGATGTCAAGTAGTTACCTAGAAAGAAGTTTCTTCTCTTCTTTTTGCTCTATCGGTGGCGTGTTTGAGGATTCATACCAGACGTATGATGTCAAGTTCTTAGAATGTACTCCTTGTATTCATGTTGATTTCATGTGGTATACCATTTAAAAACATGTAATGTCATGTCAAAGATAGTTCACCCAAAAATGTAAATTCTGTCATTAATTACTCACCCTCATGTCGTTCCAAACCTGTAAGACCTTCATTCACCTTCGGAACACAAATTAAGATATGTTTTATGCATTCCGAGAGCTTTCTGACCCTCCCATAGACAGCAAGGATCCTTACATGATCAAGGCTCAGAAACGTAGCAAGGAGATCATTCAAATAATCAATGTGACATCAGTGGTTCAACCGTAATTTTACGAAGCTACGAGAAAAAATTTTGTGCACAAAGAAAACAAAAATAACGACTTTATTCAACAATTCGTCTCTGGACGTTTACTTAAAGATGATGTCAAGTAGTTACCTAGAAAGAAGTTTCTTCTCTTCTTTTTGCTCTATCGGTGGCGTGTTTGAGGATTCATACCAGACGTATGATGTCAAGTTCTTAGAATGTACTCCTTGTATTCATGTTGATTTCATGTGGTATACCATTTAAAAACATGTAATGTCATGTCAAAGATAGTTCACCCAAAAATGTAAATTCTGTCATTAATTACTCACCCTGTATTCTGTTCTGTGTCAGCAGCACCGCACGCGGATACGCTGTTTACGTTGCTTATGCTTTGATCTGAACGTAAACAACGTATCTGCGTGCATACGTTGCATACGTTGTTTACGTATGTGATACTCTCCAAAATGGCGCTACGGTGACGCGGAGGAGACGAATTGTTGAATAAACTCGTTATTTTTGTTTTCTTTGCGCACAAAAAGTATTCTCGTAGCTTCATAAAATTACAGTTGAACCACTGATGTCACATGGATTATTTTAATGATCTCCTTGCTACGTTTCTGAGCCTTGATCGTGTAAGGATCCTTGGTGTCTATGGGAGGGTCAGTGTCAAAATACGCTGGAGCACGGGCACGAGGAAACGAGGAGACCTGGAGATTTTACAGAACAAGAGTCTTTTAATGATTCAATAGGGAGACACAGTGCACAGGGATGACGTTAACAACAGGTTTACCCGACAGAGGAGAAATGCACAGACAAGAACTTAAATGCTAGGGATAATTAACAAACACAGGTGCACTGAATGACTAATTAAACTAAACAAGGACAGGAACATGACCAATCCATGATCCTGACATATCGCCCCCTTTCCGGAGGGTGCGTCCTCGCGCCGTAGAACAACAGAGGGGGGGCATGGGTGGGAACTTGGGAGGCGGCTCAGGAGGAGGACGGACACCTGGGAGGGGGCTGGCAGACAGAGACCAGGGAGGTGACGATGGAGGGAGGAGCCAGGGTGGAAACAGGAAGAACTTGGAGCAGGAGGAGCCAAGCAGGACCCAGGCCACAGCCATGATGCGACCCACGGTGGAGCCAACGGAGGGAGGAGCCATGGAGGAGGAATGGCCGCCGACTCCAGGGGGCCGACCAACGGCGGCGGAGCAGGTGGCGGAGGAGCCCAAGGCGGAGACAGAGAGCCAACGAGCCAGGGGGATGCCGAGGATTCGGGGGGCCAGGGTGGAGCCGAGAGCTCTGACAACCGAGGCGGAGATCCGGAGGTCCGCGGCAGAGCTGTAGCGACTGAGGACCAAGGTGGAACTGGCAGGAGGAAGGAGCCCAATGGAGCCGGTGGGACGGAGCGACGAGGTGCAGCCGGAGGAGTGGAGTCCTGAGGCGATGGCGGGTCTACGCCCGACCAAGGCGGAGCCGGAGGGACGAGGGAGCCTAGTGGATCGACAGGTGACGGTGGTGGTGAGGGAGCTAGGAGCCAAGGTGGAGCTGTTGGGTCTACGGGCCGAGACGGAGTCCAGGCCTCGGAGGCTGGAGGCCGAGGTGAGGGATGCTCCATGGTGGGCTGAAGGCGAGCAGAGGGGCTGCCAGACGACAGCGATGGAGGAAGCAGGAGTGGGCAGGTGGGCATTCGTGAGCCTCCGGGCTCTCAGGGCTGCCCTCGGGGATCAGAGCCCCCTCAGGGCTGGACGGGACCAGTGGGGACGAAGGAGAGAGGAGAGGGGGCAAGTCGACCTCCAGATCTGTTTTCCAGTCCATCAGGTCCCCTTCTAAGTCCAGCAGTCCCAGATGTATAATTAGCTCACCCTCAGCCGCGGTGCAGTGGGCGGAGCTCCACTCTGTGCTCTCACCGTCCACGGCTTGCTCCCTCTCGGTGGACAATGTCACCGGCTCTCGCACGTGGTCTGACGGGTGGGGTTCCACATCCGGGGCGATCCTCCGCTCATTCGCTCGGCATTGCGCTGGCTCATTGATCGCGGCGGTGACGGGCTCTCCGTCATCGGTGGGCTCGGGCTGATGCTCCGCACCGCAGGGAGATGGTGGGCTGGGCACTGGGTCTGGAGTGGATCTGGCGACACTCCACGAAGGCGGCGAAATCCTCTCGAGGACCATCTTCGGACGACGGCGCTCTGCTTGTTCACCAGTATCTACTCCACGAAGGCGGCGAATTCCTCTCGAGGATCATCTTCTGACTACGGCGCTCTGCACTCGATGTTTAAACTTGCGTTGTAGAACGCACAGAGCGTGTCGTCTGGGTAGCTGGTGGTGTTAGCTAGCAACAGGAACAGTCTCGTATGGTCCTTGAGAGATCTGTCCCCCTGCTCCAGCAGGAGGAGGAGGAATTCCGGGCATGTGAAGGGATCCATAAGGGGAAACACAACGGAAACAAAAACACTGAGAGAGAAAAACAGAAACAAAAACGGAGGGTAGACACACGGAGGTAACTGTATTCAGTCGGGTCTTCTGTCACGCTTTGCTTACGGGAGGGACGAGGAGACGTGGAGATTTCACAAAACGAGAGTCTTTAATGATCCAACAGGGAGACACAGAGCACAAGGATGACGTTCACAACAAGTAGACCCGACAGAGGAGAAATGCACAGACAAGAACTTAAGCTTCCAGTGGAGAACAAAGTACAAACATAGTGCACATGTACATAGAAATTAAGGCAATTGTCACACTTCCCTTAAGGCAAGGAGCGAGGAGACCAGGGATACACGAAACAATAGTCTTTTAATCCAAACATCCAAGGAATTACACGGGGCAGACAGGAGCACAGGAAACACCAGGGTTGACGTATAATCTCGGACAAAGACAGACAGCACAGACTCGAACTTAAATGCAAGGGATAATTAACAAACACAGGTGCACTGAATGACTAATTAAACTAAACAAGGACAGGAACATGACCAAATAAGGGAACACAGGGACAGAAACAGGGGCTCTCGGAATGCATCAAAAATATTTTAAGTTGTGTTCCAAAGATGAAGGATGGTCTTACAGGTTTGGAACGACATGAGGGTGAGTAATTAATGACAGAATTTTAATTTTTGGGTGAACTATTCATAGAAACACAACGGAAACAAAACACTGAGGGAAAAAACACGGAAACAAAAACGGAGGGTAGACACACGGAGGTTACTGTTTTTTGGTTGGTTGTTCTGTCACGATCTGTGCTAGGAGGAGCGCGGAACGAGGAACAAGGAGATGTGGAGTACATAAACAGTCTTTAATACTGGGAATGACAGGGGAATTTCACAACACCCAACAAGTAGAACTGACAAAGGAAGACTACACAGACTGGGGCTAATAAACACAGGGCAATCAGGGGAACACAGGTGCATGGAATCATAATCAAATTAACACAATTAACATGAGGAGAAACTGGGTCACGGGGAGCAAAACACACACAGACAGTCCAGAACCCTGACATACTGCCCCCCTCCCGGAAGGTGCGTCAATAGAACAACAGAGTGGGGGGGGAATGGGTGGGAACTAAGGAGGAGGCTCAGGAGGAGGACAGACACCCGGGAGGGGGCCAACAGACAGAGACCAGGGAGGCGACAAAGGAGGGAGGAGCCAGGGAGGAGACAGGAGGGGCCCAGAGCAGGAGGAGTCAAGCAGGACCCGGGCCACAGCCATGATGGCGACCCACGGTGGAGCCGACGGATGGAGGAGCCATGGAGGAGGAATGGCCGCCGACTCCAGGGGGCCGACGAACGGCGGCGGAGCAGGTGGCGGAGGAGCCCGAGGCGGAGAGCCAGTGAGCCAGGGGGATGCCGAGGATCCGGGGGGCCAGGGTGGAGCCGAGGGCTCTGGCGACCGAGGTGGAGGCGGAGATCCGGAGATCCGCAGTGGAGCCGGAGCGACTGAGGGCCGAGGCGGAGTCCGGGCCTTGGAGGCTGGAGGCAGAGGTGAGGGATGCTCCAGCCACGGCGACGATGGAGGATGGCAGACCCGCGGCGCTCGCACCATATTGATGGTGGGCTGAAGGCGAGCAGAGGGGCTGCCAGACGACAGCGATGGAGGAAGCAGGAGTGGGCAGGTGGGCATTCGTGAGCCTCCGGGCTCTCAGGGCTGCCCTCGGGGATCAGAGCCCCCTCAGGGCTGGACGGGACCAGTGGGGACGAAGGAGAGAGGAGAGGGGGCAAGTCGACCTCCAGATCTGTTTTCCAGTCCATCAGGTCCCCTTCTAAGTCCAGCAGTCCCAGATGTATAATTAGCTCACCCTCAGCCCCGGTGCAGTGGGCGGAGCTCCACTCTGTGCTCTCACCGTCCACGGCTTGCTCCCTCTCGGTGGACAATGTCACCGGCTCTCGCACGTGGTCTGACGGGTGGGGTTCCACATCCGGGGCGATCCTCCGCTCATTCGCTCGGCATTGCGCTGGCTCATTGATCGCGGCGGTGACGGGCTCTCCGTCATCGGTGGGCTCGGGCTGATGCTCCGCACCGCAGGGAGATGGTGGGCTGGGCACTGGGTCTGGAGTGGGCCAGAGTCCACTCCACGAAGGCGGCGAAATCCTCTCGAGG